GGGAACCTTGTAAAACCTTAAGTTCTATATTATTTGCTGATCAAACAACATTATTTTGTTGTGTGGAGAATCTGCAGCAAGGTGTTGAAAGAAAACTTTCAATATTGAAGAGTTAGTTTGATGAGAACAAACTGACATTAAATTTTAGCAAAACGAAATGTATCATTTTTGTACTCATAAATTCAACTTAAACATTGTACTTGGGATACATGATACAGAAATAGAAAAAGTAAATTCTGTCAAATTTCTGGGAGTAATGATTGCTGACAAATTAAATTGGAAATCACATATTAGCTACATAAAGCCAAAGGTGTCTAAATTAACTGCAGTGTTACTTAGAGCTCACCATCTTGTCAGAATGACCTCTTTATACGCTTTGTACTTATACTTCCTTACTGAACTTATTATGTGGACATTTGGGGAAGTACTTACAATAGCAGCCATTCAAAATGGCCCTTCCCAGTCGAACACCAGCCGAATGGCAGCCCACTTCACTGCCACTCCCAGCAAAATCCCCTCCAACTTCCAGCCAGTGGAGTGACCCCCTCTTGAATATTTTTTCCCCTTTCACTGAATTACAGGGTCTGACCAGGAGATGATGCTTCTCTTAAGATCTTAATGTCCACAAATCATGACAGAAAAATAATATTTTAGAACAAAGATTGATGTTTTTTAAAAAGGAATTGTAGGTGATAAGCCAAGGGCCCATCAAGGAGAGTGGGGAAATTTTGAATAGGTACTACTGTATAAAATAAATACTGAATCTATCTACATCCTAAAGAATCAAGTAATACGAATAGTATGTAAAGCTGATTACAGAAAGCCAACAAACCAGCGATACTGTACATCAGACTGAAACCAGAATTTAGAGATTTAGTTGATTATAAGGTTTTACAATTTATGTTTAAGGTAATACATCAAATAGTACCACAAAGTATCCAGGAGTTGTTTTAGGCAAGGTTGTTTCAGATTGTCTCAGTACACGGACCCCTGTGAGGTATATTTATGCTGAAAATACCAAAGTTAAGAACAAACGCACAGTATCACTGCCTTTAAACAAAGGGAGTTAAATTATGGAATAACTGTGGTCATCAAATTAATTTATGTAATGCAATGAAAACATTTAATAGACTTTTCAGAAATTATATGCTAGATAAGTACAATTCAATCTGAAAAACTCACAGAGAGAGAAAGATGCAATTAGAAGAGTTTATTGATACGATAGTTTGGACTTTGGCGCTCAGGCCTCGGCAGGAAACATAAACGCTGATTTATACTTTAATGCAGATAAACTGATGAATTTCCGCCTTAGCTTCATCTTTGAAGCTAAATGAGAACTGAGCTGTGTCGCTTTCTTTTCTATTGTGTTTTATGTTCTTTATTCAAAGCAAAGGACATTTAACAGGATGGTTTCATATGGTGTAAATTTTTTGTTTAAATTTGTACTCATTTAATATGTTAAATAGTTCTATTATTTAGGATTAAATTAATGCAAGGGGATAGGCCAAGACAAGTTTTTTTTTTTACTTCGGGCTGTTTTCTTTTTTTCAGATAAAAACATGAGCAGACTATATAAGCATGTGTTTGACAAAATTAAACCATTATTTAGATTACCAGGAACATACATTTGCCTGTCATTAAAAAAAAAATCGGAAAAATGGATTATGTGATTATTTTGATCTGTTGTTCCATAAAACTCTCCTGGAGTCCTTGGATTAGTCTAGGAGGTCACATGGGGGGTGTTAAGGGTGGTTAGGGGGGTGCTGATGGGTCTAATGGTGGCTTTCTGTTCTCTTGGACTACTTTGAACATTCTTTTGCCCTTACTGTCAGAAAGAGTACCTTGCCATGGTCAAATTTATGATGAAATAATGTTCTTCCATCTTTTAAACTATACTCACAATGATGCTCAGTGGAACTTTCAGAAGTATAGAAATGTAGCTGCTATCTGCTGTCGTTGACATTAGTATTTTTTGCAATAGTAAGAATTTAAGACGAAACAGACAAACTAATGAGCCAGCATGCTCTGTGACAGTTCAACTCATAGCAGTCAGTATCTATTCTTTCAGAATTTGATTCCTGATTTAATTCTTAAGCATACTAGCACATTTTTCAGAGGGGCAGTTTTTCTCCTCGACATATTTCTGCAAAGAACAGTTGTGTTATTCTCATAACAAGGAGTACCTCCATAGTTCCAGGAACTGTTTCCCATCTCCATCCATTTTGTCTCTGAGCAATGAAGAGAAAGAGGTGTGCTGAGAAGAAGATCATGAGATCTGAATATTACTTCACTTTAGTTTCTGAGTTCAACAGGTGGAGGCTAGTACAATCAATAACAAGCAGGGCTTCACAGAGTAGCTGAACTTAATTATAAAGGTGCTCTTTGGCAGGGACGATGGATCAGAACGTTTGTGGGAAATTGCAATATAAGAAAAGCAATATTTTAAACTGAAGGGAAATTAATATTTTTTTCTGTACACACAGAAAATTGGGTTAAAGACAACAGCAATAATGGCTACTTGGAGCAGAGAGTTCTGAAAGTTTTCATATTGGGCATGCTTAGAAGTGGTAAAATGCATTCTTTAAGGGTGAATAGATTTACAGAATCCTCATAAGTCAAGTTCAAGGTAAATTATACACTGAGATGGAGAAAAGAATCCATCAACTTTTTATAACAGAGGTTATAGATTTTAAGGATGTTATTTACACCTCTAAAAAGTATAAAAGGGAGGTTATTTTATGTTAAAGAAATCCTCTAGATTATTTTTTATTTCAATATGTCACTGCTGTCTTTTTCTTTTGAAGGATACTGTTGGATCTTTTTAGACTCAATAGATTTTGTATTGACACTGAAAAGTATATAGTTTCATGCCATGTCAACAGTTTATGGTATATATTTTAGTAATTTGATGAAAACACAGTTATATTAAATAGAGAATACAAAGAATTTGTTTGACAAAAGTGAACTCTATAAGTGAGCAGGAGATCAAGTCAACAATTCTCTGCTCTCCTAAAGCAATTTAGCTCTGTAACTGGACTTATATTATAAACTGTATACATTTATTTAAGAGTAGGTTGGTAGGAGATACATATTAGAGTCACATCTTCTTGGTTGCTACGATTAAACACTTTCTAGAAAAAAAAAATTGCCTTATGTACTCCAAACCTTCTGTCTGTGTGCCTTTTCCATTGCAAACAGCAATAACAAAAGAAGAAAAAAAAATATTTCAATTACCCTGTAGCTCAGTTCTGATGTTCATGAGCCCATAGCTGGTTTTTCAATAGTAGACAGCATTCAGCATTGGAATAAATCTGCCATTTCCAGATCTAATCACCTTAAATTTTGATGCACTGTCATAGCATTTTCTCCTAGAACCAAATGTGGTGGAAAATATTTGACCAGTTATCTTTAAATTATTTGCTTTTAAAGCTTTACTCAAAAATCAACAATTAAAAATGTGAATCTTTAGCAACTTACTTCATTATTATTGGCCACTCTCTTTGCTAGTAAGTATGGGGTCATGGTTCAAACACAGAGGACAAAAATAACTGAATTATCATTGAGCATGCTTCATTCGATTCTTTTATCATTTTGTACAATGACAGAAGAAGAATCAGAGCATTATAAAGCAGCTTAACACAGATTTAAGGACATGCATTCTCCATGACTAAACCACAGTTGAGTGGGTGCAATGCAATCATCATTTATTCATCCTGCAAGCCTCCTTTATGGAAAAACCACAGAAACCACATTCTTTTATGAACCCAGTGGCTGTTTTAGATAATTTAATGTTGCATGTTGGACCTGAAGGCAACAACAAGGCTTTTAAAGAGCAGCTGGTGCTTTTTGTTTGTGTCGGACAAAACAGCTCCCAGCACAAGCACGCAAAATGTTATGAAACCGCATGAAATTTTGATTTGAACATAGATTAAGAAGTATGAAACCAAACGGGGAATACGTTCATTTAGAAAACTTAACAGCAAAATATTAATTGGAAAGGGAAAAAAAGAAAGGTTAACGTACACAACTTAGTTAACTCAAGCTTTCTAAATGTTTCTTACTTTCTTTACATTTTATCATCAGGTTGAAAAAAATTATATTTTTGTAAAAAGTTAACAGTTTGTGAAAATCTCAGTTCCCATTGTCTCGAGAATCTTGGATTTGGTGTTTAATTTATCTAGAATATTTTTGTGCATAAATCATTACAGATCTGCCATCAATAGGGGGCAGTAAAGACACAAAACTCAAAGAAGAGAAAACATATAACCTACAGTACAGGGTTTAAAAGGGTAATCTAGAAAAAAGCTTAACACTGCTTTTGTTTTCTGTTATTTGTTTATTAAAAAGAATAAGACATCACGCATATTTACTGTGCATGACAAATACACTGATGGTGGTGTCTGGAACTGTACGGGAGCCTTGCTTCTGTCAGTGAGCCCCAGCGCAGCTGTGGTTACAATGTGGCTTGTCAGAATCAGTGTGTGTGTTTGGGTGTGTGTGTGTAAATGACTGAATGAAGTGTGAAGCATTATGGTCAAGTCCTCTGACTTGAAAAAGCACTATATAAGTACAGGTCATAAATACAAGGACATACAAAATTGTGTTGTTTAGTCACTGACAATAATCTGAAACAAAGAACCAAAAGATTGTATATACACATGTAGGCAAGATTTTTGGTACTCGTTTAATGAATGAAAATATCTTAGTGCTCAAAGAAATAACTTTAATTTTTGCACAGACCTTTGTTAACAAAAACTACATGTTTTCACAAAGTTCAACCTGATTCTAAGAGGGGAAAAGGGAAGAAAAAAACCTTGCTGCGTTAAGTTGTTCAGATTTTTGGTTGGCTGACTTCAGGAGAAATGTCTGGATCAAAGAAGGCAGAAAATTTAGGGATTCAGAGAGAGAGAGAGAGAGAGAGGGAGGGGAGGAAGGGGAGGAGATATTGGAGAGAAAGTGAGGAGGTGAGAATACATCAACATTGAACAAAGAGTAAGGGACTCACAGCTGACGCGGCGGCAGAGCGCTGCGCTTCAACTATATTGATGTTTGATAAGAGGGAAACAAAAGAAAGAGTCAGAGCGCACCGCGTCTGTGGCCCGGCTGAGGTGTATCCCTGCCGGCCACGGCGTGAATTGGATTACATAGACTACACTGGGTCTCCTTTCGGTGCTGCAACTGCTGCTGGAAGAAACATGTGCCTGCAGAGTTTTCCGGTCTCCCCACTGCTGCTGCTGCTGCTGCTGCTGACTGGGTTCTGCGGCGGCACAAGTTTTCCAAGTAACATCAATATCGGTAAGTAGCAGCTGAATATTTGATCTCATACTAAACGTAATAAAATAAAATCTTACCCACAACTCACGTCGTTTCCCAAAAAGTATCCCCCACGGTCAATAATTGATGCATTACAACATATGCAGATTATGAGTGGCAGTATTATGTTTATTAAATTGTATTATAATTAACTGATATTTTGACTATAACAAAAAAAAAAAATGCTTTTTAATAATGACAAGTTATAAGGATTGCATTACACGAAAGAGACATTTAAACAGCAACTAATTTTCAGCACTATGGACAGCGTCAGAGTTGATCAGTGGGGGTTGTTTGGGGTTTTCATAGGTGGTTTTTTCACAGTTGTAAAGATCAGCTCTGGAGAATGTTAGTGCAGCCATAGGCTACTATTTTCTCTCCTATGTTCTGTATTATTTTGGCTTCAGTTATAGATGAAATAGTTCTGTTATCGATCATTATTAGTGATGTGGTTCCGGAAAATGGGAATAGGGAGGGTTTAATGACTCAGTAACATTAACAATTTTAGTTCACTGCAAAAATGATCTCAAAATTAGTAAAAATGTCTTAAATTAAGGGTATTTACCCTTAATTTAAAGGTATTTACCCTTAATTTGAATAGGTAAATAAGATGATTTGCCAATGGAATGAGTATTTTTACTCTTAAAATAAGCTATCTAGATATTATGCACTTGAAATAAGACAATGCAGTTGTTTTTTCTTATTTTAAGTGTAAATTGTCTTGTTCCATTGGCAAAGTATCTCACTTAAATCCTTAATTCAAGAAAAAATGCACTTATTTTAAGAAAAAATGACTTATTTAGATTTCATTTTTTTGCAGTGTTACATTTATGTAAAGCAATATCAGGTAGCAATATTCAAAATAACTTAAAATATATAATATATAAAAGCAACTTTGATAGCAAATTATATCTCACAGAACCAGTCACAATGGCATTTTTTAGCATTATTTTTTTTAGAATTACGGACAATGTGTTTGGATACCATTTTATAGTAAAATAATGTACAAAATCTGACTGAACTGAATTAACATTGCGTGAAATTACAGGAAAATAATAAGCTACACTGAATAGCTTTGCTGTAGAGTTGCACTGTACAGGGTAAAAGAACAGTACACATACAAACAAGCATAACGTAGTCCTGATTTTTTTAAGTAGTTTTGTACACCCCCACAAATGTATCATTAATGTAGATTTAAATAGTTTGCTCAACTAACTAATCTAAAACAGTGATACCAGGAATTACAGTAAGTCACAGTGTTATCAGATATGGCTGTGCAGATTCTTCTTCTTCTTAGTCAGTCTTCTTGCCAATAGCAACAGTCTTGAGGCAACCTGATTTTTCTCAGTTTTTGTAAATATGATTCAAAACATATTTAAAACTCTTTGTTAATTCTGGAGCCTTGCTGTTCAGCAACCTGGAATTGTGGGGCTGCTGTTTTAAGCAAATGAAGACCCAACTTTCTTGAGTAAGCAACTCACATCAAACAATAGACCGGTGACCCAGGGGAGCAATTGTCGCTTATATACATGTTTTCTGGAACAATAGTGCCTCTCAGAGACATAAAACAAACAATGAAGAGTTGTGATGTATTTATTGTAATTTGCATGGTTATAGCTGCCTAGACTAGTATCTGATTATGTTAGCTTAGACAACAGTTTTGTATAGCAATTCAGCACAACACATTTATTCCTTCAAGCTTTATTTGAGCAGGGTTAAATCTTTTCAAAAGCTCACCTTATTATTTACAATAAATCCTACCAACATGTTATCCTATTTCTTCCTCTGCAAGACAGGTTATCATTGAGAAATTATAATTCTATGTAAGGTGTTACATGTTCAAGCCCTTTCTGATTTGTGAAATTGTATTGTGTGTGGTGGGCTATGCAGTCTCCTGGCACCCTAAGATCAAACAGCACCTGTTACAACTCTTGGCATTCAAGCAGCAGCAGGACTTTTCTCTAAAGGCTGACTTACAGGTTGGTCAGTAATACCTGCCCACCTGTCCATTTTTAGTTTCCATGGTAACTAAACATTGTATCGGCTGATTGTTGGTTGTAGAATACACTACTTTGATCTACATGAACCACTGCAGATTTAGAAATGCCTACTCTTAGACAAGTTGGTAGGACGTTAGCTGCTAGCAGTAGCAAATTATACAATGTAATGAGTCCTAAGCTCTAGCCAGGGAATATGCTCCTCACCCAAACAAAGTTCATAGATGATCTATATCATAGGTTTTTAATAATGTGAAGCAGATATCTCTATTTTCAGGACAAGAGTAATCATCTTCATTACCTAAGTCACAAGGTTAGGGGAAAAGAATAAGAAGATCCAGAGCAACCTAAATAGACATAATGGCTTATATTACTTATAAATAATAAAGTTTCTCTTCTCAGGGACCAGGCTGATATAAAGGAACACATGTCTATGATCCTTAGGAGAAAGATGGAGCAGGAAATTAAGGCAAGATTTGTGAAAAGATGGGTGTGTCAAATGATAACACACTAAAGACAGACACCTACCCGGTGGACACAGTTCACTTAGGTATAAGAATTATCGGAAAGTGTGTTTTTTTTTTTTGGCTCTTCATTGTTTGGCAAATTTACAATTTATCTGCTAAACAGATTAAATAATGTTAAAGTTTAAGTCTCTAAGGGTAATTTACTTCTATATGAAGACATATTTCTAAAGAGTTGTTTAAAGACTGATCACTCTAGGCATAAAGAAATTATGATACGCATCAAGGCGTAAGCTCCCTCACGGGGAACAGCCTACATAACAGGTTTTGCTGAAATATCTCCTTACTAAAGAAGATCAGCATACAGAGTTTTTATTTGGCTCATTTTTTTTTTGTGGTGATTAAATTCTTAAGTACAGAAAATAATTTCTCAATTTTTACAACTCCCAATAACGTTAATAATAGATTCATTGTTATGGTAATAGGAGTTTGATATTACCACTGAAAAGTGAGTAATTTCCTACACTGTTTTTTATTTTATTTTATTTTTTTCCTAAAAATAAATTATCCCACCTCTCTATGAAATATTATTTCAGCAATATTTCCTCAATATTTCCTCAGATTGTTTTTTTTTTTTTGCTGTAGTCAGAGTTGCTGGTGTGGTTTCTGAAGCTGTGTTGTGCCGAGTGGATCATTTTTGTGACTCATCAGCCAACCAGTAAGGACTCCCGCTGCAGTTTGCTCCCAGGTTTGATGCTGATGAGGCATCATGTTCTTTTTTTTTTTTTTTCTGAAGTGAAACCCCTTCCTGCAGTCTGAGCCTGAATACTAATTAGCTTTCAGCAGTTTTGGCTTCAGACCATTCGGTTTTTCCGCATATTTATTTTTATGAATCAGCAAGCCCTTCTGTCACAGCAGATGGACCACTTCCAGCCTTTTAGGGCTTGGGTCCATTCAATAAATTCTATCTTTAAAATAATATTTTAACATGTCAAAAGTTTATCAACAACTTAAAAAAATGTATATTGCTCTGACATCTTCTTTGCCAGGTCTTTAATAATCCTCTTATGTTAAGAAGAACACCTCGATTGAACAGAATAATCATTTGTTTTGTTATTATTAAGTTAAAAGTATAGAAAGGAAAGTGCAACATGTTATGAAACCTGGACCTTTTGAAATGTTGTCATATTTTCTCTCCAGATTTTATGTGATAAGGGAACACTTCACTCCATTTTGACCATAAAAGAGCTGTAAATATATCCAAGCACTGGTTCTTTCTACAGGACCATTACTGGTTATGCTCCACACAGGTTTAAACTTTAGTTGAAGATTAGCAGGGGAGATTTTATATATATTCTTACAAGTCACTGCAGGTATGGGGAAAAGGGCCCTGTGGTAATACCTAAATAAAAATTTCCTTTTACATCACACTAAATACTTCATCACCAATTAGAAGTAAAAATACATCTGAGATGTTCATCCAATTGTGTCAGATGCCCTGAAGGTTAGAAGTTCTAAAACAGTTTGAAAACCATGGATTCTTCTTTTTTATTATTATTATTTATGAAGTATCTTACTGGTTTGCGTTGGTCTCTCTGTCACGATTCTTGAGAATCCCTCTACAATGAAGGTTTTCATGTAAATGTGTCAATTTAAACTGAAATATTAAAAGGTTTAAGCAATCTAAATTATTATGAGAAAAGATCAAATTAACCAAAGTTAAACTTAGAGGATTAAATAATAATCAGAAAACCAGGAAACATTTTCTTCATTTTCTTCTTTATATGCAACATTTCTACCTACTGCTAATTTGTGTAGGCCACAGACGTCTTTTGTTATTTTGCCAGTCAATTTATGCTCACATGCACACAAAAACTCTCTCCATTGTCTGTGATTGTGCCTCCATTGTGGACACAATTCTAAACATTTTTACATGTGAGTTTGAGCTGATATTTAAATATGCTTAAAATAGACAACAACTGCACCCACATGTACTTTCAGGTTTCACAAATTGCACTGCTGGATGGTAAGGATTGACATATTTAAATCATCCGCTATATACTGTATATATTAAGCAGACTTACAAAAACAAAAGTAAGTGCAAATTTGTACTTCCAAAATTTCCATGCACCTCATTTAAAACCTCTTCTCAGAGAATCAAACTACAGTAAAAAGTGTAGAAATGTCAAGAAAAAAATACCTACACTCAATCAACACAGAGATTAAATTGAATTGTTTAAAAGAAACTGTTTGCAGTTCATGTTTTGTGTTTAAAAGTCTGAACCAAGAAAAAATAAAGGTCAGGAACCAGGCCCTCAGTGATCAACAGATCCTACAGTATAGACTGTGTCCTTATAAAAGCCGAATGTAAGTAATCTAAAAGGCAAAATCATAACAATTCATAAAACACAGATGCTCTAAAAAAAACAACTCTAAACCAACAGGAACATCTTAACCTCAGAAATATACATTAATATGAATTTTGGGGATGAGAAAATTTCTTTGAGTTAACTGTTCTTTTGGTATAAATCATTTCCTCAGTTTGGTCTATTTTAGATCCTGGAAAGTTGCTACCTGGATGCTAATCACTTTATATTTCGACTGGCACACAGTTTTATCGTTTTCTTTGCGGTATGATCTGATAGAAAAACAAATAAGGCAGTTTGGTTGCAGTCAGAGGAAAAGTTCACTGAAAACAGATGTGTTATGTGTAAGAGCTGCTGACCAGTTAGGTCTTACGATTGTTTCAAGGAAACCCTGAAAACCATTATGTTGAGTGAGAGTGAGTGGTTCGATTGCATGAAATAAGAGCCATGAGAAGAGGCTTTTAACAGCATTTACTGCAATACACTAATTATTTTTTGCCAAAATTGAACAGCTTGGTTGTGGAAGAAATCCTGTTTAACATGAAGGTGATCACATATTTATATTTTAATTAGTGTTACATCTGCAACTTATAACCAAAGTTGGCTACAAAATAGTGATTCTGGGATGTGGTCTAGAGATCGGTAGAATCCGACTGAATTAATATTTATTGCTAAAGATGTGCCTAAAATGTCTTCTAGTTGTTGATTTACTGTAGTTTGTGTCATAACTACATTCTTGTTTAAAGTACTTGTATGGCAGAGATGAAAACAGATATGTTAGCCAGATTTATGCATTGGCTCCTCTGCATTGAGGTGTTGTTTATTTTGAAGGCAGGGATCTCATATCCCTGGGTCATTATAAAGTTCTTCCCTAAAAATTCTGTGTAATTATTTTTCCTTTTTCTGAAGAAATAATGTTTTATTCAGGAACGATACTTACCTAATGTTTTTGTATTGAACAGGAGGCCTTTTCCCCACTGGTTCCCATGAGTATGAGGTTTTTCGCTTCGCCCTGGCACAACATCAGGACGTTCCCAAACTGGTTCCGCAGGTGGACATGGTGGACACTGGGAGCAGTTTTGCAATGACTTATGCTTGTAAGTAAAAAAAAAAAACTAAAAGCTTTGTATTGTGGAGGAACAGTTTTGGAAGCATTTGTTTAAACCGTATGAAAATAAATCCACGATGGAGGCACTCTGACACTACATTTTCAGTAGCTCTTCTCACAGAGAATTTTATCTTTGCTGCTATTTATTGGCTTTCGGGGAAAATGTTTTTTTATAGTCTGTTTGTTTTGTTGCTATGTTGCAATTCTCATAAAAAGGAGAACCACTTAAGCTTAGCTCCACTGTGTGAGAAACCCCTTCCCTAAAAACAGATAAATAATGGTTTGAAAGTGCTGCAGGTAAGGAAGCACTTAAAAGATAAAAAATTGTAAGAGAAAACAAAACGAACAGAGGAGGTGAACTCAGGTTTCAGTTCTCGAAAACATATAACGCAGCGCTAGAGTTGATTCCTTCCCACTATCATCTCTATCCTCATCGCCATGCAGGTGGTCAAAACATCGCTCCTGTAAGCCAGGCCAATAATGACTACGACTCCTCATTGCAGAGGCATGGACTAGTTTTGGGTTTATTTGCAGGCGAACAACAACCTCAACGACTTCCCGTTACAAAGGGGTGGATCTGTTTTCGGTTTAATTTGCATGTTTTCTAAGCAATGACAAGACTTTGTTGGGCTACTCTATAAAGCTTGGAACTCAACACTAATACAGAAATTTTGAATTGAAAAAGCTTCCTGGATGGGAAGCGAAAACGTCTTCAAACTTGGAAATCAAAGTCCAGTGGCTTGTTTTTTTTTTTTTGAAGTGGAAACCAGACTTACAGCAAACTAAACACCTTCTACAAACCTTGCCCTTATGTCAGGAAGTACCTGCTGCAACACAAGATTCCAGACTGTTTCTTGTTTGAAAAAATCAAAATCAATTGTTGCTGTGACAACGTTTAGTTTAGCTCTTTCTTTCTGAAATTAAGCTCTTCTAAACCAAATTTTGGACCCGTTTTTGATAAGAAAGAAAGAAAGAAACAAACAAACAAAGAAACAAAGAAAGAAAGAAGTAGAAAGAGAGAGAAAGAGAGAGAAAGAGAGAGAGAGAAAGGTGGAAGACATACATACAGCAAATGGGCCAGGTCTAGGAATAAATTGAGGAAAACAACTATTGCCTCTGCAGATGAGGCACCTGCTCCACCACTGAGCCCCGAGGCACCATGCAAACTTGATTTCAAGCTTACCATGAGCTTTTTGGATATAAAGAAAAAATGGACATAAGTCAGGCTACCCTCCAGGGTAATTTTTATTGCACCCCTTTATGTAAAATGGGCACTGCCTAAAACTTCTGTAAAATAGCAGCTGGCTAGCTGAAATGGTAAGTCACCTGACCTTGCACCCAAATTTAAAAATTACTAAAAAAAACTCACACAAAAAGAAGAGAGAGAAAGAGAAAAGACAATTAGGAGAGATTTATTGATACAATTACTTGTCTTTGGTGCTCAGACCTTGGCAGGAAACATAGCTCTTAATTTTGATTGATATGAATGAACAGGAGCAAAGAATAGGGCTGTTTCCCCCCAGGCCTGAAACTGGTGGTGGAGTGGCGATAGATGAAGTTGGTCAGTCTGTAGACTGCTGGTTAGCGAGACGGTCTGCTGAGCTTTATGAGGAGATCCAGTGGATACTAGAGCTTCACTCAGGGAAGATGGAAGTCCAGTTGGATAACACAGGTTGAGAGAACCTGTCCATGATGAGCAAGCATGAAGCGACAGTGGAGAGGAAAAACTCCCCGTTGGGAAGAAACGTCTGGCAGAACCAGGCTCAACATGGCAGTCTTCTGCCGGACCGGTTAAGATGAGACAGGGAACGCAGTAAGAGTCCGGGAGGAATGACACTCTGATGAAGTTTTAGCTACGATGGTGGGGGAGAGGCTGGAGGTGGGTTTAATCGGTATCATCTGAATGAAGTCACACAGCGCATCCGCCGCCTGCCCACAGGAGCAGACTGGTGCGTATCGGAGGCATTTTAAGATGAACTTTGATGCCGATTGGCTTTCGTGGAGGTGTGGTTCAAAGTTGATTGGCTGTGTCGCAGGTGGATGCATGAAAAGCAAATGAGTTTCTTCAGTTCAACTTCCGCCTAGGCTCCATTTTTAAAATTTGTATTGTCTTTTTTATGGGGTTGTGACATGTAAGAGATTATTGTAATATTATCTTCGACTTATCCTTCATGTGATTAAAATGAGATCTAAGGCGTCTCCTACTCATTCTGAAAGCAGCTGTCTGAACTGTGGTCTGATCCGAGATGGCCGCCCTCTAGGCCCTTCGGCGTCACTGCCGACAGCGTTCAATGAGGCGTCTACCATAGACTTTCCATGTAAACCAGATGCCCTAATGCCTGGAACATGTTTTGTCTGAGTGCACCATAAGTCAATTATTTGTTTGCACTTTTACAAGGAAGACACATAAGAATAGCACAGATATTTAAATGATTTTAAAGGGCTTTAAGTACTGCTACATCATTTTTATCTGATCTAACAGCGGCTTAATGTGTCTGTATGTACAGCACCCCATGTTTGCATTCCTGGTAAATAGGTGTAAAAACTAAAATGAATGATTAAGTAGCATGTATTCTCACATCTTTTGTTTTAAATCCAACCTTTAGGGTGATAATCATTTGTTCTACCCATAGGAAATGTTATCAAAAAAGTCCTAGGGATGCACCCAGCCTAACTGACTCCATGAAAACATAAATTGGGTTCCTCAGTTCTCTGCCTTGAGGTCTGAAGTCTTGCATCTTCTAGATTTGCTTCACTTCCACAGAGCTGGGTCAGTTAATCAGGTTATTTGACTGTATACTGTAGATTCAAGAATGTTATTCCAGTGAATGGAAGCAGAAACACATCTAAAAGATACAGGACACAAGACCTCAAGGTCGGGAACTGAGGAAACATTTTCTGGGGTATTGGTGGAAAAATTAATATTTAAATATATTCTAAATATTTTTGCTTACAGATATATTTTTTTTCTCTTAATGTGTTACTAGACTTAAAAATGATTACAAAAAACAGTGTTTTAATCCTGGTTATAATGCCAAGCAGATCTGGTTTAAATGAATATACTACCTTGTTTATGAAGTACAACTTAAGATCTTCCTGTTGATTTTCATTCTACTGCATATTTATGCAATGCTTACTTATGTTTATCATATAAATCACTGGAAAAGAAATCAAAGTTAATGACTGTACTGTGAGAAAATTAAAAAGGGATCTAAACGTGTAAAAAACCTTTCCAAGGCATGGCGTATTGATCTTTTGACGTGATGGGAAGAGTATCCTCATCATCAAGTCAGTGTGCATCAACTAAAATGTATATTTTAGAATATATTTGATGAGATTTTCTCTTCAAAGTTTAGGGAAGTGAAACAAGGATGGAAAAAAAAGATTTGCTAAAAATTATAGTGAAGATCACATGGGTTCAATTAAAACTTTATTTATTTTAGGATCTGTTTAGGTGTCTGTAGTGGAATATGTTACCTTTCCACCAAGCCTTGGAAGACATTGTACTAGTTTTCTATTTTACGCTTTAGTCGACCACTGAATCCAGCTTGATGCAAACCAGGTGCTATCTATTTTACTGCGTTCAGGTTGAGCAGAGCTCCAGTGCTGCGTAACACCAGCTGTCAGCCCTTTCACCCCATCAGGGCTGAGGATAATTCCTGCTAACAGAATCTGAATGTGTCAGCTGCAGCAGCTCGAAAAGAAATGTTTGTTTTCCTCCCTTGGAATCACTGAGAGGACGCGGCCGTGCTGCTCTGCTCCAACTGTAGTCTGTCTCACAGGAGGGAGAGCTCAGTCTGTTTTACATTTCACACAACGGTGGACTGCAGAAAAAATTCACAGAGAGGCAGAAGTGCTGGGAAAAGAGAAAGATAAATCAAAGAAAAGAGAATGGGAAAAGAGAGAGGGAAGGAAACTTTATGAGATTTTGTCTGTGAAAAGTACATTTTTGTGAGCTTTAATAAGTTAATGAGTAAAAATGTTTTTTGGTTCTTATTTGGCTGCTTTTTGATTGTGCATGTTCACAAAAAATTAACAATTCAAATCAAACTTAATAATAAAATATTTCACAGATATAACAAAATGCTGAAAATTTGATTCTAACACATTGTAGATTTATTTAGGCTGAACTTCTCATGATAAATACCGTTTTATATTTAGCAAGAATTTATCTTATTAAAGTGTTTCTAAGTGCATTTGTAATTACAATGATGAATATTTGGATGCCTCTGAGCTTTTTTTATGGGAAGCTCCGTTTCACGTCCTTCTTTTTGCTGCACTCCTTTGGGTGTTTGCAAAAGCTGGTGTGAGGCTATGATTCAGGTTGAGTTTCAGTTTTTGGAGATTCAGCTCTCTGGAGGAAATATTCAGAACAGTTTTCTGCATGAAGTGGTAAAAGCTAGTCAGTTTACAACAGCTGTTTATTCTCTCTGGAACAATCTCTTTTCATGTCACCCGAAGCAGCCAAGCAGTTCAAGTTCAGCAAGCGGAAAGAAGCTTAGTTTCTTCAAAGTTCTATATAAAACAAAACAAATCAGTGGGTCATGTATACATCAGAAAATGTATAGTGCCTCACAAAAAATGAATTGCAAATATAGTAAATGTTATACGATGGAGTTTAAGGGCCAGGCTAGAGATTTTAATAGGTGAATAAGTTTATAACATTATGAGAATAAGGTTTGTAATATAACAAGAATAAAACTGTATCACTTACGAGAATAAAGTGATAAAGTTACGAAATAAAGTTGAAAAACTATAACAATGAAGTCATCATACCACAATGGATTTTAGAAAGAAAGCTTCGAGCTCCGGCCAGCATATGAAGGCCGACCAGCTCCACCAAACAGTAACCTGAGTCCACTTTGATACACTGCCCAATTTGATGCTGGTGTGCTAAAAGATTTCCTTATTTGCCAAACCAATGCCAAAGTATAGTTTCAGATGATGCTAGACATTCCTTATTTTAGGAAAGAAAGTGCTTTTTGTAAG